TCATCCAAGAATGCATATTCTAAATGGTCAGGGAGTTTCTTTAGTTCGAGGGGGCGGTCATTTCTTAAGTTTTGTTCATTTTTCTCCCCCTCGAACTCAGACAATACTTCGTGAGAAGCATGCTCAATTAGCGCATCCTCACCACTCTCACATGCATCACTCATGTCACTGTCGACTTATTTTAACAGACATGCTTCATCACTTACATGTCCATTCCCTTCCCCAAACAGATACCCTTCAATTGATTCGAAAGTATCAAGAAAATGACATCCTTGAAAGGAATCTGTGGGGTGTTTCATAACATCTGAGAATCGGAAGGTGCATAAATCATCTCCAACTCTTAAAGTTAGTGAGCCATCAGTGACATCAATCAAGGCCCTGGCGGTAGCCACAAAGGGCATTCCCAGAATAAGAGGTGTTTCCTATCCTCTTCCATGTCCACTACTACAAAGTCGACTGGGAAAATGAATTTGTCAACCTTGACCAAGACGTCTTCAACAATTCCTTTCGGATATTTGATTGAGCGATCAGCCAGTTTAAGACACATCCTGGTGGGTTTCATTTCCCCAAGTCCTAGCTTCTCGACTATAGAGGAAGGCATCAGGTTGATACTCGCCCCTAAGTCAGCTAGAGCATTATTGAAATTGAAATTGTCAATTGAACAAGGGATAGTGAAGCTACCTGGATCCTTTAGTTTTTCGGGTATTGACCTTAGAACCACCGCTGAGCATTCTACATCTAGGTCCACGACTGAGAGCTCCTGTAGCTACCTCTTGTTTGTCAGCGAGTCCTTGAAGAACTTGGCATATTTGGGCATCTCTTCCAAGGCATCCATCAGCGGCAGGTTGATGTGGAGTTGTTTGAGTAGGTCCAGGAATTTGTTGTATTTCCTGCTATCGTCATCATTTCTAACCCGTAAAGGAAACGGAAGATAGGGTTTGACGATAGTGACCCTTGCGTTAGGGCGTGTTGGCTCCATGCTCTTCTCAGTTAGAGCATCAGTATGGTTCTCAGGTGTCTCCTCTTCTTTGTTGTTCTTCTGCTTGACCTCGGCTGTTTGTCTCCCATTTCGGAGAGTGATAGCTTGCACATGTTCACGGGGATTTGGTTTTGTAGTGCTAGGCAAGTTGCCAGGCTGACGACCAGGAATATTATTTTGAGTAATTTGCATAATCAGAGTTTTGATCTGATTGTCAGTGCTAGCCTTGTATTTTGCCATCTCCTCCCGTGTCCTTGCTAGTTCAGCTACCAGCAAGCCTATCACCGAGGTTTGGGCCGCCTCTGTTTGTCGTATATGTGGAGGCACATAAACCTGATTGTTCTGGTTTGATTGGTTTAGTGCCCCTCCCTGATTCCGCCCTTGGAAGTTGTGCCCTTTATTGTTGTTGTTGGGGTAGTTCTAGTTACCTTGGTAACTGCCGCAAGGAGGACCATTGTTGTAATCCACCCACCTTTGGTTACCCTGGTAGTTTCTCCCTTGGTAATTTTGGGGAGGTAATTTGAGTTACCCCCATGTTGCCTTGATTTGCCCATGGCCCTTCTTGTTTCGTTCGGCCATATTCCAGCATGTTTACCTCCCTGTCGTTACTTAGATTACAATCATCAACTAATTGACATGAATTGGTCAAATGCGGACCAAAACATATCTCACATGGTAAATTGTGATAACTGTGGGGCAGAGTTTGAGTTCCCGAAGTATCAAGATGGTTGCTGATTCGGGGCAGCGCCAATGTGGTTGACCTGGTTGGTGTGATTGTTTTCGCCTTTCAGATGTTTCACTTCCACTACTAACCTTTCAATCTTTGCGGTTAAAGCTGTGAGTTGGTCAACTTCATGATAGCTTGGTTTTGTGGCCACTGGAGTTCTTTCATCGTACCAGTATCTTGCCTTGGAAGTGACCTTCTCCACCAGAGCTTCATTGGCGTCGGGCGCCATATCAAGAAATGATCCCACCTGAGTAGAGAAATCAAGCTTTTTTTTTGCTTCCAACTTGAAGCCCATTATAGAAATGGAACATCAAGCTGCTAGGGTCCATCAGTGTGAGTGGACACTTGTTTCTCATATCCTTGAAGCGCTTTCATGCTTCATTTAATGATTCCGTCGGGAATTACCTAAAATTTTGAATTGCTGTTTTAATTTTAGCAACCGCCGACGGAGGAAAGTACTCTTGCATGAACGCCTGGTGTAGTGCTGCCCATGTTGTGAAATGATCCGTTGGAAAGCTATCCAACCATAAAGATGCCCTATCTCGTAGTGAGAAAGGAAATAGAGTCAATTTTACGGCGTCAGGAGTCACTCCGTTGAAGCGGAATGTTTGGCATGCTCGGGTGAACCACAACATGTGGGCCCTGGGGTCGTCTTGCTTGGACCCGCCAAATTGATGATTAGACATCATGTTGATAATGGCGGGTTTGATCTCGAAGTTGGCTGCCTCGATTGTTGGTGCACTTATGCTATCATCCTCGATGAAGCTTGGTGTGAGGTTTTGCAGCACCGTCTTTTGGTCCGACATGATTGGTTTCTTGTGGATTAAAAGATTTTTCCACAAAGTTCGTTCAGGTTCAGGATTAAGTTCAAGTAGCCCTTCCACTCCTTTAGAGCGAGTGTGCATTCATTTATCCTGAAATCTTTATACAAATGTCGCAAGTGCGAAAAAGTCTCCCTAACTAGAATTCACCTATGCTAGAACTAGATCAAGAAATTACCGTGTCATTCCACGGCAACGGCGCCATTTGATAACCGCTTACGTGGCATTGTAGTAAAACGGAGTCTAACCTTTCGGTTTTCCCCCGAGTATCGTGTCTCTTGAGAAATGACGGAGGACTTTTCTTAATTTAGTCTTAGTCACGGGCTATTGCTAATCGTTGGAAGCTTTTCCAATACAAAAGAGGGTGATTGTGTTCTAAACTAGGCCAATTTGCAAAATTATAACTAGGAATAATTTTTAACAAAAGATGAAGGTTTAAGATCAAATATTTCAAGGGTTAATGAAAAGATTGAGGCAAATAAGGGCAATGAATTGAGTAATTAGAAATGGATATATTCTTGGGCCTAGTAATTAGGGGAATTAAAACTAAAATTGGACTAATAATTTCTTTTCTCATAGACAAGAATAGAAATTACTTTCATTAATTTATCCTATTTCTAGGTTTCATTAAAGTATTCAAAAATGGTTGGCTTGAATTAAATCCTAATATCATAGACAAGACAGAAATAATTCTCCAATATTTTAATTAATAAAAATAGCCAAATTCATTAACTAATTAAATTCATTATTTAAACAATTTGAATTTATTTCTCATAGACAAGATGCAAATCATTTTCATTAAAATTTTCTATTTCTTGGTCTTATTAATGTGCTTGAATAAGGTTGACTCAAATTATTTTCTAATCTCATAGACAAGTTAGAAATAATTTTCCAAGATTTAATTAATGAAAATGGCTAACAATTACGGAGTATTAATTACTATTTCATCAATTTGAATAACTAGTCCAATTAGTTAATTTTAACCCCTAATTTTCGGCTAACAATTCAATCCATATTCCTTTATTCAATTCATGCCCAAAACAAATTTACCTACTAAACATTATTTTTGCATTCAACAATATAGTAAATAAATTAAACATTAACAACGAATTAAACATGTATAATAGCAAAAATTAAACAAAAAATAAATTCCGGCAAAATAAACTTGTAGAAACTAAAACATAACTATCTGGATTTTTTCACAAATTATTAGACCCAAAATCCAATTTTAACAACTAATTGATGATTTTCCCAATTTTAACTATAAAATGCAAAAGCCAACTCAAAATACTTTAAATTTGTGATAAATTTTATATTGACTACTGGGGTGATATTACAGTGGAACAAACTGGAATTAGGACCGTATTTTTTTCTTCTATTTTTAACTAATTAATTTAATTTATGCAATAATAACAACTAATTACCAAAATTAAATAAAAATTACTTGTGCTTCGTGAAAATTAAACTTCTTCAGATAAATAACAACCTTGAGACTAGTAAACAACTATATAATTAATTGGAATGAATCCAACATCAACAACTATTTTTTTTAATTTTTGGAAGAAAATGTGAAATACTTGATAAATATTCTGGAAATATTCGAAGAACCGATCGAGAAAACAAAGCACAGATTCAGATTCTACTGGTTGAGAAGATGAAAATACATATAAAGAACTTACAATTTGAAGCTAAAATGAAGAAGATATGAAGACTTGAAGTTTCTCTCTCCCAAAATGGCTTGGAGCTGCAGAAATGGAGGAAGAAAGAAGGGTATTCGAACTGATTTAGGGTTGGAAGTAGTGTGTTTGAGTTAATAAAAAATTGGGCTATTTATAGCACCAAAAGCTCGTAGGCGGTCTGGAGGGCGGCCGCCCTTCGGCCTGATCCGGCCGCCTGCCGTCTTTTCACCAACAGGCAACAGCGTCAACGCGACAACGTCACTTCGCCGCAGGCGGTCACGGAGGGCGGCCGCCTGCCGTTTCTGTCTGGCCGCCTGCCGTCTTTTCGCACCGACGGTGGTTGACTTCGTCACCTTGTGCCGTAGGCGGTCACCGAGGGCGGCCGCCCTTCGTGGGGTGTCGGCAACCTTCGGTCTTTTCCGGGTCCGATCAAAGTCCAAAATGCTGACTTTCCAAAACTAGCGTAGGCGGTCTGGAGGGCGGTCAGATCTGGCCGCCTACTTGACTGCCTGCGGGCTTCTTTGACCGTCTTGTTCTGTATTTTGTGCTCTTCAACTTTCCCTTCTGGACCACTTTGAAATTCTGTTTCCTTCTTTAGATATAGATTTATTTGTTACTCAAATTGACTCATTTTGTGTTCAATTGGCCCAAAATTTCACCAAACATATTATGACTGTAGTTTTCACCTGAATTAATGAAACTTGAACCAAAATATCCAAAACGTGCCTTGTTTTTTCTACTTTCCATATAAAAATCGCTTGATTTTAATAAGAAAAATAAGTACAAAAATGAATATCACTTAGAAACAAATTGTGATTGCCGATGGGCGGTGGAGGGACTGTGGAGCAGGACAACAGGGGAGTGGCTGGAGCAGGAGTCTTGGGTTGTGGACGTCGTCGCCAACTCGGTCAGCAATTCAGCTGGGCTATTTGGGAGAGTAGGCAGGCTGCACGGCGGCGGAGAACAACAGGCGACTACCGAAGGCGAGTGGCGGACCGGAGGCCTTTGTGTCTATGGGATCTGGCTCTGTGACTTGCGTGCTTCAAGAAGAAGAAGACATGTTTCTCCAGGTTTGGGACTTCCGATATCTACATACGTACGACTAGATTATTTGGGGACCGGTATCTCTGTAATTTTTTTTACTCCGTATACATTATACTTCGTAAATAACATCCTTACAAACATCAAGATTGCTCAATACCATTATAGAAAAGTTGGTATTTTCTGGATATAGTGTATTGTGAAAGAGTAGTTGGTGGGAGATTTCAGGTGGATAAATCAAGAGAGGATTTTAATTTGGTTTTGAGATAGACATCTGGGTAGATGGGAAGAAGAAGATTATAGAGACATGGGGAAGGAGAGAGAACTGGGGATTGGGGTCCGCGTTAGATTATTGGACTTATACTACATGTAATATTCACAATATACCTAGTATTATTTATCGAGTTTAATTGTATGTTATATGCTATCTTATATTTAGGTCCAAAAATTAGTGGTCCTATGGATATTAATTTAAGTGGGCTAATAAGTTATCTAATAAGGTATAGGGCCTAAATGTGTAGAGACCCATAGACTTGACCTAATCAATGATAGGCTGATTAGGGTTAAGCACACTCTACAAATAAGGGGTTATGGTCCCTATTTGAGCACGTCATTCCGTCTTTCTGCATCCCATCGCTAGAGAGATAATTCCCGAGGGTGTGTATCAACTTGAAGACGCAAACCCTAGCCTCCGTCTCCCAGATCTCTAAACATCATCTCCCACGGAGTCAGGTACGCTTCCGCTCAGTCAATTCTCTAGATAATTCCAATATGAAAATTAAAGTATTAATGGATTTATTCCAACAATTGGTATCAAAGCCTCCTTCATATTGAATTATTTGGAGTATTCATACTTTTGTTTCAATCTTAAACGATTGAATTTGGGATATTTCTTTTGTCATATGATCTGTCGATTAAATAAAATAAGGGTAATGCGATTTTGCATTTTAGCAATTCGTTCCTAATGTATTCAGGAATCGACAGTTTATGATCAAACGGAATCGTTATGTTTGAGTATGATGTTTCATATTTTCTTTTCTGAATCGGCGATTGAAATCTGCCGAGGCAGTCTCATTTGGGATGCTGTTTTTGTATTCTTTCTTTGTATATGCTTATTTGAAATCCCAATAGTGATAAAGTATGCAATAAGTACGTGGAATCAACAATTTTATTCATTCAGTACTGTACTTTGCCGATCAATCTATTATGTTTGGATTGATGCGTTTTTTTTGTTAATGGATTGATATTCATATAACCTTACGGAGTATTATTGTTTATTACTCCGTAATTTATTACAGGGTATTTTATTTGGGTGTGGCTGATGTGATTCAAGTTGCTTCACAATTTCCTTAGGGAATTAGCCACGTACGGTTGTTCATAGTATAATGATTGTTCTTGATATGCTTCCAAATTTTCAGCCATTAAAATCAATTTTGAGTTCCAGTTTTATTGTTTGATTCAGCCATTAACCGCGTACGGTGATTCATGACACTTAATTATTTGATTTAGTTCCAATTTTGAGTCTGCCGAACAATATATGCATAATAAAGTTTGATATGTTTCCTTTTTTGGGTGAATCAATCTTGGAAGTTTTTATATGGCTTTGGTAATTAAGTACATATATGTGATTACCGGTTTTGATAATTAAATACTTATATGTAGTTATGGCCAACATATTAGTTCTATCAGAAATACATAATTTGGGTATTACTAGAAAATAGAAATAGATTACTTTTGTTAGTGATCATGATTTACGACTTGAAAAAAATGTGTATTGTGTGTTATGGGATGTATAAACCCTATTTTGTGATCGCACGGTGATTGGGTACGAGTTTTAAAAATTATCGTTATACATAACACATTTACATGTGATTCAGAAAAATTTGCCCAATTTTATTTTTCAAATTTTCGAGTTAATATTAGCATGTCTGATATTTGGGTTAGTTAATTGACACAACATGCTGCCAAAGTAGCCTCTCTTGTTGAAATTAATTAACTCATGTATTAAGATGATTATGTACTTTCATACTTCATGTGGATAATAATCGGCCCAAAGGAAGGTTATTATTTGGCCGAAATTTAAGTACATTTGTGATAATAAAATTTGTGGTGATTATGAAGTTTTTCGTGTGAATATTAAGTCGGTCTAAAGAAAGGCTTAATATTTGACATGTTTTATTATCAAAATTTTATTACCACACCAAGAGTACCACTTGCAAGTCTAATTTATGTCTAAAGACAAGATTAGATGTTGCGCTAGATATCTTGTGATGGGGATTGCTAATATTTAAATTTAAAATTAATTATCAAATTAATTTCAGTTCCTAGAGCATATCATTTATATTATTTTTTGTTCTCTTTCAGTCAACAATTCTGCTGCTACAATACCTGCTAATATTAATAGCATCCCAGTGCTTAACGGCACGAATTTTAAGGAATGGAAATATAACGTTATGATTGTTCTCGGTTGCATGGATCTAGACCTTGCACTTCGGACTGAGAAACCCGCCGCTCTTAAGGACACATCTACCCTTGATGAAAAGAGGGAGATGGGGAGGTGGGAACGCTCAAACAACATGAGTCTAATGATCATGAAATGTGCAATTCCAGAATCATTCAGGGGCACAATGTCTGATGAGACTGATGCCAAATCGTTCCTTGCCGAACTTGAAAAGCGTTTTGCTAAAAATGAAAAGGCGGAAACTAGTACTCTTTTGAGCACTCTTGTTTCCATGAAGTATAAAGGTAAAGGGAACATAAGGGAGTACATTTTGGAAATGTCTCACATTGCTTCAAAACTAAGTGCACTAAAGCTTATTTTACCTGAGGAATCGCTTGTGTATTTAGTTTTGATCTCTCTTCCTTCTCAATTTAATCAATTTAAAGTCAGTTACAACTGCATTAAGGAGAAATGGTCTCTCAATGAGCTCATTTCTCATTGTGTTCAAGAGGAAGAGAGAATAAAGCAAGATAAGACTGAAAGTGCTCATTTGGCATCTACCTCTAAGGGCAACAGGAAAAGGAAAATTAAGGAAGCTGTAAATTCAGGGCCTCAAAGAAAGCATCATAAGGAAACTAAGGAAGAAACTAAGGAATCTGGATGCTTCTTTTGCAAAGGGACTAATCACAAGAAAAAGAACTGCACTAAGTACCACGCCTGGCGTGCGAAAAAGGGTATGTCTCTTGCTCTTGTTTGTTCTGAGGTTAATTTAATTTCGGTACCAAAAGACACTTGGTGGGTAGATTCCGGTGGTACTACTAACATAAGTGTATCTATGCAGGGTTGCCCGAGCTGCCAAAAACCAATTGATGGTGAAAGATACATCTATGTCGGTGATGGCAAGCGGGTGGAAGTTGAGGCTATCGGTGTTTTTAGATTATTATTAAAGACTGGTTTTTATTTGGATTTGAAAGAGACATTTGTTGTGCTGTCATTTAGGCGGAATTTAATTTCTATTTCTGCATTGGACAAATTTGGTTATTCTTGTTCATTTGGAAATAGTTAGTTTAGTCTATTTCAAGATTCAAAACTTAATGATACTGGTCTTTTATCAGTTTATGATAATCTATATTCACTTGATATAAATACCTCATATAATGAAACCTTGCATTTAATTACTCGTGGTACTAAAAGAAAATTAACCAATGAGAATTCATTTTCACTTTGGCACAAGCGTCTAAGACATATTTCTAAAGAAAGAATTCAGAGACTTGTGTCAGATGGAATTCTTGATTCCTTTGACTCCTCAAATTCGGATATTTGTGTTGAGTGCATTAAGGGAAAACAAACGAACAAACGGAGATTAGGTGTTGAGAGAGCTTCAGATCTATTAGAATTGATATATACATACATTTGTGGACCATTCCCTACACCATGTAGAAATGGTCAAACATATTTTATCACATTCATAGATGATTACTCTCATTATGGTTACCTTTATCTCATTCATGAAAAGTCCCAATCAATAGACGTGTTCAAATCTTATAAGGCCAAAGTTGAAAATCAATTAGGCAAAAGAATAAAAACCGTTAGATCTGACCGTGGTAGTGAATACTATGGTAGATATGATGGTTCCGGTGAACAACGTCCAGAGCCATTTGCTAAATTCCTAGAGGAGTGTGGAATTTTTCCTCAGTACACCATGCCAGGAACTCCTAGCATGAATGGTGTTGTTGAGAGACGAAACCGTACATTGAAGGACATGGTTAGGAGTATGATTTGTCATACTACTTTACCAGATTCCCTCTGGGGAGAGGCACTGAAAACTGCAGCTTACATACTTAACAGAGTTCCCACTAAAGCTACAACTAAAACCCCTTATGAAATTTGGACTGGAAAGAAACCCAGTATAAATCATTTTCATGTTTGGGGTTGTCCAACTGAGGCAAGGCCTTATAGGCCAAATGAAAAGAAACTCGACTCAAGAACAATTAGTAGCTATTTTGTAGGACACTCTGAGAGGTCAAGGGGGTATAAGTTTTATGATCCCACTACCAGGGCTATTTTTGAGACGGGTAATGCCCGGTTCTTTGAGGATATTGAGTTTGGGGGGTGGGGAGATAAGGTTAGAGATTTTGTCTTTGAGGAAGAGCATGTTACTCTTCTTCCAGTTGTCATTGAACATGATCAAGATATTTTTATTCCTAATGATGTTCAAGAAATAACTCCAGTTCATGACAATCTCGAAAACATCCCCAATCAAGTACCTGGAATTAATGAGGATCAAACTCAACAACCTCAAGAACTTGAGGTGCCATTAAGAAGATCCACTCGAGAGAGGAGAAGTGCAATTCCGGATGATTATATTGTATTTCTCCAAGAACATGAGGAAAATTGGGAAATGGTGAAAGAAATAATTGTCTTCCTCCAAGAACAAGAATCAGATGTTGGTTTTGCGGAAGATGATCCAATCAACTTCCGTCAAGCCATGGAAAGTTCTAACTCTCAAGAATGGATTAGTGCCATGAAAGGTGAGATGAAGTCTATGAGTGACAATGACGTTTGGGAGTTAGTCTCATTGCCTGAAGGTATTAAACCCATTGGTTGTAAATGGATATTTAAAATCAAGAGGGATTCAAAGGGCAATGTTACAAGTTTTAAAGTTCGTCTTGTTGCTAAAGGCTACACTCAAAAGAAAGGAGTTGACTATAAAGAGACTTTCTCTCCGGTTTCCTCAAAAGACTCTTTTAGAACAATAATGGCATTAGTGGCACATTTTGATCTTGAGCTTCATCAGATGGATGTAAAAACTTCATTTCTCAATGGTGACATTGAGGAATCAATCTATATGGAGCAACCAGAAAACTTTGTTTCGGGAGATTCAAAGAAAATGGTTTGCAAATTAAAGAAATCCATCTATGGGCTCAAACAGGCTTCTCGTCAGTGGTATCACAAGTTTCATAAAGTCATTATATCTTTTGATTTTCAACCAAATGTCAGTGATGATTATATATACCACAAGTTCAGTGGGAGTAAGCATATTTTCCTGGTCTTGTATGTTGATGACATACTGCCTGCTAGTAACGATATAGACTTATTGCACGAAACTAAGAGATTTCTTTCAAAGAATTTTGAAATGAAAGATCTTGGCGAGGCTTCTTTTGTATTAGGAATTCAAATACACCGAGATCGCTCCAAAGGCGTTCTTGGACTCTCACAAAAGAGCTATATCGATAAGGTTCTCAAAAGGTTGGTATGCAAGACTGCAAACCAGGAGATACCCCAGTTTCTGAGGGAGACAAGTTTAGTCTCATGCAGTGCCCTAAGAATGGTTTTGAATATAAAGAAATGAGGAACATTCCTTATGCTTCGGCTGTAGGAAGTTTGATGTATGCCCAGGTTTGCACAAGACCTGATTTGGCATACATTGTTGGGATGTTAAGCAGATATTTGAGCAATCCGGGAATGGACCATTGGAAAGCAGCCAAAAGGGTCATGCGGTATTTACAGAGAACAAAGGAATATATGCTCACATAACGGAGATCAGATCAGCTTGAGATCATTGGGTATACCGACTCTGATTTTGCTGGATGTCAAGATAGCTTGAGATCCACTTCAGGCTACATCTATATTCTAACTGGAGGAGCTATCTCTTGGAGGAGTATCAAGCAGACCCTTACAACTACTTCCACCATGGAAGCAGAGTTTATAGCATGTTATGAGGCATCCAATCAGGCATTGTGGCTGCGAGATTTTGTTAGTGGACTGCGCATAGTGGACAACATTGAAAGATCACTTAAGCTATTGTGTGACAATAGGTCAGCAGTCCTTTATGCTAAGAACAACAGTAGTTTGACCAAGGCAAAACACATTGGGGTCAAATTTAAAGCTGTTAAAGAACGAGTGCAAGAAGGAAAGTTGTCTATAGAACACATTAGCACAAACTCCATGATTGCTAATCCGCTCACTAAAGGATTACCACCCAAAGTGTTTCATGAGCATGTTGCTCAAATGAGTGTCAAATCAGTTGAGAATTATGAGTTTTAGTGGGAGTTTGTAATGTTTCTATATTTGGTTAACTCAAGTTTTAATGTTATTTTCTGCAGAACTAAAGTTTAAAGTTTTATGTACTCTTACAGTTGTATTATTGATCTCAAGGTGGACCAGTTGGAAATACAAATTCTGTTCCAGACCACACTATGTTATTTCCACGCTACACACCTATACTTGATCCATGTCGTTTATTATATTAATATACGTGATTATTGATGGTCTAGTTATGCGAATATAGCAAAGACTTCTTTGGTCCTATGTGTATATAATTAATGGACCGGATTGATTAAGATGACTACAGTTTGATAGCAAAATTTTGGAGCTCCTAAAGTAAACATACAATTCTAAGGATTGTGTATACATGTGTATGTCATCCAAGTGGGAGATTGTTAGATTATTGGACTTATACTACATGTAATATTCACAGTATATTATTTATCGGGTTTAATTGTATGTTATATGCTATCTTATATTTAGGCCCAAAAATTAGTGGTCCTATGGATATTAATTTAAGTGGGCTAATAAGTTATCTAATAAGGTATAGGGCCTAAATGTGTAGAGACGCATGGGCTTGACCTAATCAATGATGGGCTGATTAGGGTTAAGCACTCTCTATATATAAGGGGTTATGGTCCCTAGTTGAGCACGTCATTCCGTCTTTCTGCATCCCATCGCTAAAGAGATAATTCCTGAGGGTGTGTATCAACTAGAAGACGCAAACCCTAGCCTCCGTCTCCCGGATCTCTAAACATCATCTCCCATGGAGTCAGGTACGCTTCCGCTCATTCAATTCTCCAGATAATTCCAATATGAAGATTAAAGTATTAATGTATATATTCCAACAGTCTGGACTCTCGAGACACGAACGTTTTTATTGCTTAGTTTTGTATTTGGACCAAATAAGTTTATTAGGTTAATTGTTTCAGTTAGATACTGGTTTCAATAGTATTTTGGTTTCAGATTTATTTGACCTCACATGTTAAAACAGATACCCCATTATCTTTGATACTCCATATTTAACAAAAAAATTAAATTCAATTGCTTCTTATTTAATACGGAGTAATAAGAATGCTCAGTTTTGAAGAACTTACTTCTTTTTTTCAAACCACAAATTGTTACGGTGTATATAATTATTGAGACAAAAGTTCTCATTAGTAGTGAATCAATGGGTCTTGATTCCTAGGTTTACCATGTACTCTCTCAGACTTCTTTTAAATTTTAGAGAAGATAATTTTCAATAATTATTTAGAGCTCATAGGACATGTTTCCATAATGACTTTTCATTATGTATTTAATTGACAATTTGTTTTTGCAATGTATTTATTCTATATTCTCTATTGATAGTCCCTGTTATTTAACAATCAAACAACCATAGCAGAGAAGAAGAAGCAGATAGAAAGATATCGAGATAATCAACGAATCTGGTATAACATGTAGAACGCCGCTGCTCTCCCTCGAGAGAGAGAGAGAGCGGAAACCTAATCTCTCTATCTCGCTTCTATGCATTCTAAAGCCTCAATCGTTAGGTTTCTCGTAAGTTAGCCTCCTTTTATAGGAGAGGATGGCTAACTTATGAGTTACAAAGAAGCTAACATGCTGATATACATTTGTGGCTCATATTACACATTTAATTAATAACTACACAAAGACAAAGATATTTAACTAGATTGGACACCATAAAATATTCTCACTAATCTCCCCCTTGGTGTTCAATCGTGTTGAATCAGCATTGCAGCACAGATATCTTTGTCTTTATTTTTATTGAGTTTCCTTTGTCCTTGAACTTGACTTCTTGAGAAGGCTTTATGAAGAAATCCTCGCAATCTCCCCTTTTATGTTTTCTTGGCAATTTGATCTTTGATGCCGGGGTTTGAGGAATCTTTTTTTTGTAATCCTTGCCTTCCAGAAGTTGCTCTTGATCAACTTGGATGAAGTCCGATGACGCCTCTAGAATCAATGTTCTGATGATTATCAGGGGCGCACGGGATTCATCATCAGTACACGAGTAATTGACATTTGTCTCCTCTACAATGTAGTCTTTTTTACTATTTGGAATGAATGCATTTGAGGAGAACTTGTCGGTGGCACAACGAAACATAATGATGGTTGA